ATGGAGTGAGGTGTGGGTCTTGCTTGAGTCTTTTGCAGATATTTTTCCAATTTTGCCAACACCATTTGTTAAAAAGGCTGTTGTTTTCCCACTTCACTGATTTCATTTCCTTGTCAAAAATCAGTTGACCATAGATAGATGGGTGCTCTCCACTTTTACAGCACCTCTGACGGATGCTTCAATCCTTCTTCTTTTAAGAGTATATGTGATTGCATTGGGCTCACCAGGTAATCCAGGACAACCTCTCTATATTAAGTTCCCAGGATCTTGTAGAGTTTTGTTCTGGTGTAGGCAAGATAATTATGAATTGGAGCCAACTTGACAGCATCTAACAATAGCGACCTTAATCTCACCTGCAAAATTACTTTTACCATGTAAAGTAACATACAGAGACACCAAGGATTAGGGTGTAGACATCACTGGATGGTCATTATTTTGTCTCCCACAAGTAATACTGATTAAATCGTGTAGTTGTATATCACAGAGTCAGAACTGGCCCATAGCTGACCCTCCAGTGGATTTTCAGAGGTAGCTGATGGCATGGGAGAAGATTACCCATCCTTCTCCTGTGGAGCAGGTGGTGGATTCAAACTGCATGCCTTTAGGATTGCAGCACAGATTCCTGCCACTAGGCCACCTCAATTCTTTTCAGTGACTAACTAAATTTACTGTAGCTGAAGGGTTTTTCTGCATTAATGTTCAAGCTGTCAATCTGTTCAGTTTTGTTATCTGAATAGTCAAGTAACATTAATTTCATCAAAACATTGCCCACCACAGAAAATAATTCAGCATTACGATGAAATGTTTTAGTGTTCAATGTATTACATGGAAACAAATGCTTTATTTGCATCATGGATGGTGAAAGCAGTAAAGAAAAATGCCTTCTCTTGCCCACAATGTTCTCATAAGAGAACGTTTTCTTGGAAATGACTTCCCTTTGCCCACATAATGAAAGCCTAGGCTTTATCGCTCACAAACAGCCCAGGCACTCTTCGTACCAGCTTCTGCTTCTGGGCAGTTTCTCCCACAACTCTTTCCATTATTCTTTGCATTCTGCTTGCTTATTTTCCTCTTTGTTCATAGAGTCTTGAATCCACATCTCTCATCAACTTGGCCTTAGATATCTTAGCTACATAGTATCTTAGACAGCATTCCATCCATCCAGAGCCATTAGCTTGTCTTTATTTATCTGGTCTACTCAAGTCTATTGCTGATATCTATTGTGAAATCTATACCAATTGACCCAAAACATGCATTCTTGTTTTCCTGCAGTCTAAATGTTCCTCTGAAATCTATGCACAACAGTAATTTTTTTAATCAGTCATATACTATTTTCTGAAAAGAAAATATGGTGGAACAAGGTCTTTATGTAACTGTAACATCCATCTCCATACCTTTTCAACCTGTATGCAGGACAGACTATCCGAGATGCTGGGCTCTATGAGGAGAAGTGTGGCATCAGGATTGGTGGAAGATCTATTAACAATTTGTGTTATGCAGATGACACAACCCTGCTTGCTGAAATGGAGGAGGATCTGAAACGCTTACTGCAGAGGGTCAAGGAATGCAGCCTTCAGTATGGATTGAGGTCAATGTCAAGAAGACAAAGATTCTCACCACTGGACCAATTGGCAGCATCAGGATGGATGGTGAAGAGATTGAGATTGTTAACAACTTTAGTCTGTTTGG